TCCTAGGCAGCTCCACCACCCTCCCCATTCTCCTAATGCATGAGACTGTTTGGGCTGCTGCCCCTGCCGTTGGGTACATGGGAGTGCTCCAGCCTGGTTGCCTCCCTCTTGCAAAGCCAGATCCAGCATTATAGTAGATGTGTCTACTTTTAAAAGTGCTGCTGTTGCACGGTATTGGCTGCAAACACCTCTTTTGCCTGAAGGTGTTTGCCCTGAAGCCTGGCTCGAAGTCGGGAATGCTGGCACAGACAGACGTGCGTGCAGGCTGCTGAGGAAACCCGCATTGCTGTAGCGCTGCACCCTGGGCTGCTGGGCCTGGGCTGCAGGACCCTGGCATAGAATCATAGAATCATTTGGTTGGAAAAGACCTTTAAGATCATTGAGTCCAACCACGTCCACCACTAAACCCTGTCCCTAAGCACCGTGTCTGCCCGGCTTTTAAATCCCCCCAGGGATGGGGACTCAACCCCTTCCCTGAGCAGCCCATTCCAGAGCCTGACAGCCCTTTCTGTGAAGAAATTTTTCCTAACGTCCAACCTAAACCTGCCCTGGTGCAACTTCAGACCATTTCCCCTCGTCCTAGTTCCCGGGGAGCAGCGCCCGACCCCCCCGGCTCCCCCCTCCTGTCAGGCAGTTGTAGAGAAGCCCTGTTTCTCTACAAGCAGAACCCCCTGTTTCTGAAACCCTCTCTTGGTGCATGAAAGCTGGTCCTTAGGTGCTCTAACGGACTGTGCGGCAAAGCCGTTTAGGAGCAGTGCGAGCAGCTGATAAAAAATTAAAAGGAAAGGAATAATAAATGAAATACTAAATACTGGTAAGCAAGCATACCTTTCTGCATTGGAGAAGCCATCTGGAAGGGGGAGAGGGAGGCACAGGAGCAGCCTCAACAGTCCCAATGAACCCCGTGGTCGTATTATTAACAAGACACAGGTCACAGCCTGTAAAAGGCCTCTTATATTTTTCTCAGCTTTGTGATTCCCCCTTGTGTACATTTGTATGGGGGGGGGGTGGATTTAGGAGTCCAGCTCTGCATTAGCACCCGGGCCACTGCATGTTCCCAGGCACGACACAGGAGCGGCTGCGCAACCGCCCCTCTCCTGTTTTCCCCTTTGCCAGAAGAGCCGCTGTCAGCCCTGGCATAAAGGACCAAGTCACGATTAAACACCCACTGAGACGTGGCATCGTTCTAGTGACTTCATCGGCTTTGGATCTGGCCCATTCGGTGACGACGGAGGAGCAGGGGAGCACAAATGAACACTGTACTTGACCAAAGCCTTGTTGGGTAGAAAAACATTTTAGTGTCTTCTGAGGTACATCGGTACCAGGTTGGTGCCATGGCTCTGAATCACAGAGAGGATGTTGCAGGGAAATTAAATGCACGCATAGCTGGACTTTAAAAAAAAAACCAGTTAAAACAGATTTCTTTCTGTCCTCCCTCAGCACCTTGCCAAGCAGAGCAATGCTCCGCGCTCTGCACGGGCTTGGGAGCTCGCAGGACAAAGCCCCATCTGTGAGAGTTTGGAAGAGGCAGGCGGCCCTTGGTAGCAGCCTTTCCACCCAGCATCTGCGGGCACGGTCCCTGCCTGGCACGTCAGCCCTGCAGAAAGCAGGCTGGCACAGCTGCCCTCAGGGCTGGATCCCAGGCTGAGGATATTAAGGATGTCTCTGTACTCTCTCTACAGGAAATTCAGGAGCAAGCCTGGTTCACATCGGAGCTACAGCACTGTCCGCAACGCGTCGTCGTGCTGTCCGCCCATGCCAGGACACCCTTGAGGTACAGCGCGAGCGACCTGACATGAGCCCTGTTGTGCTGCAGAGCTTTCAGGTAGATTCATTTCCCCTTTGTTATTAAAACTCTCGGTAAAGTAAAATACCAAATTAAATCAACTCTTGTTTTATTAGGAGGGCCGTTGCCAACAACTCTGAATTTCTCCTGCAGAGGCAGCAATGGGAAGGGCTCACTGCAATACTTCACCGTAGCTCGGCTCACAGCCCCGGCCAACCTGGCCTGGAATGTTCCCAGGGATGGGGCCTCCACCCCCTCTCTGGGCAACCCCTGCCAGGGTTTCACCACCCTCATTGGAAAGAATTTCTTCCTTAGATCCAGTCTAAACCTACCCTGCTTCAGTTTAAAGCCATCCCCCCTTGTCCTGTCCCAGCTGGCCCTACTAAAAAGATTTTCCCCACCTTTCCTGTGGGCTCCCTTTAAGCCCTGAACAGCTGCAATCAGGTCTCCCCGCAGCCTTCTCTTCTCCATTTTTAATGAATGATGAACCAGAGATAGAAAATGTAGTGTTTCAGGGACCTTTTAGAGGGTGGTATTTGTAAACATGTTATGCAGTGCTCTGCAGGGTTCTCTAGGAAGCCTTACAGAGGCATGTGTCACCCTCATCTTGATTTGTGTTGGTTTTGCTAGGAGACAATCAGCTAATCCACTGCTATCTGTGTCCCATGGTGAGGTGGGAACGTAGAAGTACTGCCTTTGCCATCCACTTCATCTGGCACCTTCAGACTATTTACAGAAAAGAAACTTTTCTTCTTACTGCTTCCACGCATCCAGCGATGTACCAGCAATCATTACAGCCTGGGGCTTCGGAATAGGCATCCTTTTACGGAAGGGCAGAAGTCTCTAGCTTAAAGGGAAGAAGCTCAAACCGATTACTCACTGCACTTTCATTTCCCTTTTCAAGTCAGGCAGCCCATTATGCCCATACAACGGGCCTGAGCGAACGCTAATGCATTCTAGCTCTCCTGAATGGCATCAGAGCATTTTAAGTCAGCACTTCCACCCTACAAAATCCTAGAGCAATGGAAAAGCATTAACATGCAAACCCTCCATTCCCTCAGCCGCTCAGGTTCTAGGATGGAACAACCTTGTTCGTTCCTCTTTGGTACGTAGAAACGTTCAGCAACAGCTAGAACTGTAAATGAAAAATATCAGATCAGTTGCACCTGAAGTATCGTGGAGGAGGTTTGTTGGGGCTTTGGCTTCATGCAGCTGCCAGGATGGGATAAATAGCAACGAAGGCTGGCAGGGTGCCTCAGCCGAGCACGCACACGGAGCCAGCGAGGTGGATATTGCACGGCAGCCCATCTGTTGTGCAGAGATGCCTGCTTGCTGGAGCACGAAGCTATGACTGCAACCATCACGAGGTAACGTGGTGGCCAAAGATGAAGCCAACGGCCTTAGTCTCTCCAAACAAGGGGTCCAGCAACAGTGCCATGCTTACCTCCAGCTGCCCCTGTGTTGGTCTGGTCTGGTTTGGTGGCTGGACTGAGCATCCCACTGTCCACGGATGGGGTGTTCCCTGCTGATTCCACTCACTTTCACCTGTAGCCACCACTGATTATGTCTCTGGGTGGTACCAGGGCTCTGCAGGCCATGTAGACTGGGAAAAAAGTCAATCCTCAGAAAGCAAGCAAAAATGACATTTTAACTTAGTGATACGTGCTGGGGTACGGTGGGCACCACACGGCTGTTTGATGCAGCCAGTGCTTTCAGAGAGAACAGAGGGAAACTCCTTCAGGGGTGTTTTGACACGATCTTTATTTATACACAACACTTGGAAGGGTTACATTTGGGAGGCAGGGGAACAACAGCCAGTGGGGGTACACAGCTTGCAGCCATCGCACACGGACCTTGCAAACTGAACACTACAGAGACCCACGGTGATCTGAATAGGGGAGAATCGTGCACCACGCTGCCATGCTTTTCCCTACCTACCATACACCGTGCTTTTCACCCTGTTGCAATTCACGGCATGTCATCTGACAGAGGATGGGTGGTGTTAGGTCAGAGATCACTGAAATCAAGAGGGAGGTCCAGGTGACTGAGCTAAGCATCAGCCCGGGCCCTTCTGCAGAATCATGGGGGGAATGCAGGCTGGATTTGCCCGCCCAGCAGGTTTCAGACACAGCCCCTCTCTAGGGAGCGTGCTGCCATGGCCCCACACATCACCCTGGGTTCTGCAGGTCACGTATCCAGCACAGCAAGCTCCCCAGACACCGTCCTGCTGCCATACTTGCATTCTCCCCAGGGGCAGTCGGTCCCTGTAGCCCACTCAGTCCTTGTGTCACGCAGAGAGTGCCAGCGCTGAGGTGGCTCCTAGGTCCTCCAGATATCCAGCCTTACTGGAGCACCAAAAGATTTGTAGCATTTAGCAGTTTGACCCTTTCCAGTTCTCTGCTCTTAAACTGCAGCACTAACCCTAAACCCAGGGTTAAATCTGACCCTCAGAACAAGGCATTATACACTGACCCTTGCAGGCCTAAACTCTTACCCCAGATCTGGGAGAACTTGTAGTGCTCAGCAGCCACCACGACTTTTCAGCTCCTCCTGCCAGGAATCCTAACACTGACCTGAACCCTCGGCCAGATTTAGCCCCAGACAAAACAGTCTGACCACAGCATAAAGGAAAAGGAGCTATTGCTGGTTAATAACCATCAGCCATTGCCAGACAAGCATATTTCAGATCAGCAGCCGGCACGGCATTTTTTTCCACAGCCAACCCAGTGACCTGACTTGGGAACAATGAAAGGAGCATAAACACTGCTACAGACATGGGAAAGAGGGATTGCTGGGTGGGTGAAGACTATCTGATGTGTAGGGA